ATGGTTCTGCCATTAAAGTCAAGAAAAAAACATCTGCAACCCACCAAGTTCTTCCTCACATACACGACAAACGAAGATAGAGAGAGAAAGAGAGAGAGGTAACCTTTTTTATGTGGCCAGCAATGGATTTGCAGTCGAAAACATCATAGAGATCCAGAGCTTTATAAGCGGCGGCCATGGCTTGGACCTGCATCTTGCCAGGCATGTCTGTGTCCTGTACCAAAGCTTTGCCTTCCAACATCCTTTCCCTTCGCTGAAAAAAGAAAACTGGTAGGGATTTGCACTCAGCTATCTCTTTTGAACCTTATCTTCAAGACCCAGAAAAAAACAATCCCAATTTCAAACGTTTCTTCTTCCAAGAATATAAACAAAAACAGAACTAAGAAGAAGGAGAAGCAAATGGATGATGATTATATTCAAGGGCAGACTCTGGAAGCCCCTCCTCTTCCAAATGTGATGGAATCTTTTGAAATTCAAGCTCAAGCTTGGCACATGTTCCGATTAATATTGTTTTTCTGTCCTTCTCTCTCCCCACTTTAAGGACTTTTTAACAATATTCTATAAATAAAAAAAATATCTTTCCTCTCTCTCTCTTCCTTTTCCTTTTCCTTTTCCTTTTCCTTTTCCCTGCAATGAAGATAATCATGGCTAAAGGATAAAGCTGCTGAGGCCAATAATGAAGCCAAGTTTTTCGTTTGGTTTTTTCTGTTGATGAGTCAATGGGGAATAGGCTGTTTAGTTTTGTTCCAAAGTTAATAATATTGTACATCCAAATTTTACAAGCTCTCTCTCGTGGATTAAAGTAATGGGTCCACGTGTATCCTTTGCAGCCATCTGATCAAAGGCAGTCTGATGAATGTCCCCCAACAAATTTTAGTGCAATCAGTCAAAATGAATTAAAGTGACAGCTTTAGATGATCAGATAATAGGTAAGGTAAATTTAGAAGCAGATCAAAATGAGAAAAATCTTGTTGATGCCCCAATTTACTAAAAATTTGATGATGTATTCAATTGCACGATGAAAATAGAGAGAGAAGTTATTAAAAGGAAATTCTGACACGTAGGAGAGAGAGAATGGAATCATATTCTCTACTATTTCAAAGTGAGATAATTTCTTTTGGAATGAAGAAACCCACTAAGAATAGAATTTGTAAATCAAATAGAATTGGTTTGAGAACGAGAGATTAATTTTCTTTTCCTGGGTATGTGGGATGGTTATTTAAATCTACGATTTTTTTTTATCAAAGATATATGTAGTTGAGCTATGTTTAGATTGACAAGATGTATCATTAACGAACCAGTAAACATCTATGGAAAAATATAAATAAAGACAAAAAATGTTAGAGATCTCATTTTTATGAAAATATTGACAAAAAAATCTATGTAAATAGATATTTCTTAAAAAATAATTAAAAATATTTAAAATTAAATAAATATTTCACCTTTTTAAAATAAATTAAAAAGTTTATAGCATGTCAAAATCAGTTTATATTATATATTAATATTTTGCTTTTTATTTATGATATAATGGAAGTGCCGATTCCATCACTTCTCGATGTCAAACCATTGACCTACGAACATGTGAAAATATTGATGAAAATATCATATGTGCATAGAAATATCAACATACATATTTAGATATTTAATATTCTAAATAGCGCTAAATTCGTGATAGTTACTTGGACTAATTCACATCATAACACAAGTACTTTGATATGGACACCTTGAAGATTCCCATATTGATAGCTACATGTTGACAAAACTTTACCATCTTTTCTACCTTATCTCCATTCTTTTGATAGTACATTTAGGGCTACCTTCCATGCATAATTCTTGATCAGATCTCTTTCAACACCTCATTTTCTGTAGTGAAATCAAGTGCATGGCTTCATTTTGATAGTTTCCTGTTATTGTGTTTGCTGTTATGTGGATATTTACCATTTTTGAAGCATTTGAAGCCATCCAGAAATGGTTGCAAAGGAGGCAAACCTTTTCCAATTTATTAACATTCTTGAACAGAACAAAAAAGGATGGATCTTTACAAAGGTAACCACTCCTTATTCATACTGATGTATCTCTGCACAAACCAACACAAAAAAAAGAGTAATATGCACACAAATTTCTTTTCAAATTCATTCAGTGACAGACAGATCAAATCGAATCGAAACTTCAGGACTCGAGTGAGCCTACTTGATGGAATAATTCAACAGTTCTCATTCATATGTGCATGAATTCTTCTTGAACGTGATGGCTTTGGTGCTGCTCGAATCGATGCCCACACGGCATGAGATTTGCTTTATATGTGTTGTTCTTACTAGCTTCCCAACGACGTACCCCCGTGATAGAATCTTGAACATCAACGTCATTGGAACCGGACCACTTGTTGGGGGAACCGTTAAAGTTGATGCAGCTCCATACATCGGAACCTTAATTCCTTCCAAGTTGACAGATAACGTCCGGTGACTGTTTCTTGGCTGGTAATACTTCTTCAACTGCTCATAGGATAGGATCACAAGGCAAACGGGTCAATGGCAAAGGCAATGGCCTCCAATCCAATTAGTTCCAAAGTTGTGAGTAAAGAAACAGAAGCTGAGCACAAGTTTGTTACCTGACCAGAAGCCACAACAATCTCTGAATAAATGAGATCAATTGGTGTGGAGGTAACATGAATGCCAAATATTGTGGCGGGATTGTACACACTTAACCTCAATGTGCTATTCAATGTCAGCAACTTGGTAGGGACCCCAGTTGAATCTGAACCTTCCCCAACATAGAAATTATGCACAGCCAAGCTCTGAAAATTAGGATCAAACTTTACATTAAGGTGAAGGGTTGATTAGGAAATCTCTCTTCGTTTTTGGACTTTCAATTTTGTGTTTAGTAAGTCTCATTAAATACTTATTAGCTTAAGCTTTTGGATTCATTAAACGTCTAATGAAACAATTAGTTTAAGCTCTTCTGATATCATCTTAAGGATAAATAAACCATCATCCAACCCAAAAGCGTAAGCTAACCAGTTTGATAAATTGGAAATCATTATAAATGGAGAGGAAACAACAATGCAGAGGTTCGAACACAGAATCTTCTGCTCTGATACTATCTCAAGAACGAATAAACCATCACTCTAACTTAAAAGCTTAAGCTAACGGGTTGAATAAATTTAATTCATATACGAATACCTCATCGAAAAGCTTTGCCACAAGTTTAATAGGAATTAATAAGTTGATTACCTTAAGTGAAACGTGAGCCTTGAAAGGCCTGCTGGCTCCCCAAATGATCAAGCAAAAAAGTGTGAAGAGAGCAACAAAACTCAAGAGAGCAATTAAAGCCTGCAAGCGTCTAGAGAGAGGCTTGTCCTCAAGGTCATCATAGGGCCCTTCTTCCATAATCACATTACACTCAGGCCACCCCTTGTCATTGCTCTGCTTCTTGCCCCCTTTCCTGCCGGAAGACGACCGGAAAATCCCCGAAAACCGGCTCGCCGACGAGTTCCGGGAGTGCCGGCCGAAGGACGGGTGAGACGGCGACTCAATGGGGCTGTTGTTGTAGATTGGAGTCGTGTGCATCGACGACGACTTGTCCCCGTCGTTAGAACACCGTGAAGGGCTCTGCACATAATACGTCGCCCGCTTCGGCGACCTCGACGGCGACGACGGCGCCAAACTCGTGATATCGGACTCCGATTTCGCCGAAAGCATTGTCTCCTCGTAGAATTTGGAACTTGAAACGTTGATGAGAATTGAGGAATTGGATAAGAAAGTTTGTATGAAAGCCGAAGGAGGAAGGAGATGATGAAATGGGGTAAGGCGTAAGCCACTAGTGGGGGAATGAGTGTCGGCAGCTCCTTATTCATTATTATTGTGGTGTTGTTTTAAATTTCTTCCCACAATTTTATTGTTTTCTCTGTTTCTTACTTTTAACTTTTGAAATAAAATTATCAATCCTCATGGCTAAATGGATCCAATATCTATTATTGGACCGTCTTGGTTTCGTCACTCTATAGTTTCAAAGTGATGTCTATTGTAACAAAATTAAAAAAAAAATACTTTTAAGTGTTGTTCTTGTGTTAACTACCGTTAAATTGTTGAAGAATAAGAGAAAAAAAAAAATAGAGAATTAAAAAGATTGAGATGTCAATGTTTCAATTGTGGTCAGTTTAGAGATAATTGATTGCCTAAATATTGTTCAATTTTTAATCGGTGTTTGAACTTCAAGATCACGTCTTTTTAATATTGTTTTAAAAAAAAATTAGTTGATAATCATTTTGGCTTTTGTTTTTGGTTTTGAAAATTAAGCTTGTAAACACAATTCTTATTCATGCATTTCTTTATTTTCTTTATTCTGCTACCTACTTTTTAACCACGTTTTCAAAATATAAGTCAAATTATGAAAACTAACAAAAAATATATATATATTTTTAAGAAAGGGTAAGAACAGGTATTAAGAAAATTGTGAGCAAACAAATATAATTTTCAAAAACAAAAAACGAAACGGTTATCAAACGAATATAGGTTTTGAATTCTGAATTTTGTGTATGATAGTTAACTTCAAATTTTAAGATGCCTAAACTTGCTCAAAATCAACCCGTCACAAAATCTTTGAAAGATATAATCAACTGCGTAATTATTGTAATTATTAAAGAGATACAAAATTGAAAGTGTATAAGCCTATTAAAATAAATTTTTAAGTAAAATCTACTTCAAAGTTGAAGTTAAAGAAAGGCAATATTCTTTTTTTTTTTTTAACAGAAATATATTACAAGTTACTATATTATATTCGATTAAATGCGGAAAGATTCCCATAAAGTCGCACCAAATTGGATTCGGCTGCTAGTGATGTAGTAGTTACAACCACAAGATCAAGACAAGCAATAATAAGACAACCAATAATTCGAAGTTTTATAAACAGTTCATGGAACAATAATTATTGTATTTATTCAGCTAACTTTATTTTATTTTATTTGCTGTCACCGACAAATGTGTAAAACATCTAAAAATGTAGGTAACTCTGTTTCCCATTTGGTCTATCTTTCATAATTCTCCACTGTTCGAGCCATCAGGATGTATTAATTAATTGTAATCGAAATTCTTTGTTTTCTTCTTAAGATGGATTTGATTATGGCTTTAAAGTTAAGCTTGATACTCTCTCGTGTTTTTCCGTTTTTGTCCATATATTTTTAAAAAGTCACTATTTTAGTTTCTATTTTCTAAAATTTTTAACACAAATTGAAGCTATTTAATATAAATTTATGATTACATTTTAAGAAATTTGTTGAGTGAAATGCCATGCTCAAATGTGATCGAAATAAATGAAATGAATATGAAATAATCAAAATACAGGCACCATGACAAATGACTAAAATGAACGAAAGTTAAAAATAGAGAGACCACGTATTGGAAGTACATGGACCAAAGTTGAAAATATAGGAACCAAAATAGTATTTAGACCTTTGAAAAATAGATGTCAAAATGATTGAAGTTGACCAAAATAGATTATTTAAATTTATTCTTTAAATTTTAGTATTTCAAATCTTGGACATAAAGAAAAAAATTAAGGACAAATATTGCTCCATGAAATTAGTCGAGATGCGCGTATTCTTCATTCTTCATAATATAATATAGTGGGAGCCCTTGCTTTGATTAAGGAGTTAATCAAAATATCACCCCTCAAGAAGCAAGCATCAAGCTAGGGTTCTTGATGAACATTCTCAGCTCTTGATTCTTGAAACTTCCTTCAAGCTTCAAGCTTCAAGCTTGGGTGAGTTCAAGGTTGTGTTTTCACTTTCCAATTCACACACGTCAGTTCCTTGTGTACATTTGATCAAGTATTCCAGAGACCCAAATAATTAAGCAATATATATATAAACATTAAAGAATGTTGTTACAACACAGAATAGTTGTGGAACTTTACCAGCATCACTACACCACTACATGTTAATATAATTGGACCATATGGTTTCAGAAACATGAAACAGAGAGGAAATACAGTGAAGGAAGTAGACAGAATCCATTTAGTTTAACACTTAGCATTCACACCCTGTTGATCTTTGCTGCCTTCCACCCGCGACATCAATGGTGTCGGGAAGGTATCTGCCATCACCCGAAACGAAAAGAAAAAGAAAAATGACAATTAGAGGCCAGTGGAATTCACTCTACTGCAAATAACAATTTTTTTAATTTACTGAGGAAGGGATCCTGGCATAGCAGAGAGAACAGAACAATGACCATGTTAGATGAAGATCAGACATTCTGGAATGAGACACAGACATGTCAGGCATTCGAATGTCACGACTGTTATAGATTGTGACTGGAACTCATCACATCTGAGATTCGATAAGCTCTGAGGATACAGCTATTGTCCACACTTAAGCAAGTGAAATGTCTATTGAAACTTAGGATGGACAGGGAAATGGCTATCGAAACTGGTATATTTTTGTCATAAGAAATCCATCGAACATGCTTCGAAGTTTATATTTTAGACAAATAGACAAAGGTTGAATCGTAACAAGAAGATGGGGGAATGTTCCCATGTTCTGTTAGAGTTGGTTTTTCAGCAGATATAACTATAGCATAATATAACACCAAACTGACAATAGGAGTTTCCTCCTCTTTTAGTTTTACTCCTTAATTTATTTTCATTAAGACATGCTCTAGTATTCATGTTGTTTATCAACCTACATCAATAAGATTCCTAAACATAGAATTAGCTACATATGTAAAAGTAATCTTTAAAAAGATGTCATCATAGGAAAAATGAAGTGAAAGTTGAAATTCAGTTGGATGGAATATACTTACATTTCTTCTTCTGGTTCATTTTTGAGGGCATTTTTAGCTATACACTGAAATGCAGCATCCACATTGAATCCTTCTTTTGCAGACGTCTCAAAGTATGGTATGTTTCCTTTAGCAGCACACCACGCCTTTGCTTTCTTCTCAGAAACCTACAATGCGGTTAAAGATCCTTATGGCCGAGCAATTCACTAGAAGAGTATCTATCCTAAAGCAGAAAAGAATAATCCTCACTCTAAACAAGTAAATTCAGATAAACATTATAAAAACAAGACTGGGTGAAACTCACCACTCTACTGTTCCCACCATCCACGTCGACCTTGTTCCCCAATACGACAAAAGGGAAGTTTTCAGGATCAGACGGACTAGCCTAAACATAAAGAACAAAAAGGCTTCAATATGAATCCATATGGGTTTTCATACGCTCATAGCTATATATGTTGAACCAAAACCGACCTGAATCAGAAACTCTTCTCGCCAGTTGTTGAGATTATCAAATGATTTCATAACATTCACGTCGTATACAAGAACACAGCAATCAGCACCACGATAAAAGGCCACTCCAAGACTTTGAAACCGTTCTTGCCCAGCTGTATCCCAGATCTGAAATTTTACACTAGACATATAAATCTTCCATCTCAAGACATTACAAGGCAAACCAACACCACCTTCTCCAGAAACAAAAGAACAAAAAGTAAACCATAGGGTTTTCCCTATTACCATATATATATACATATATAACTACTCCAAACCGCAACCAAGGGATGAAGGGGGAGACAACTCTATCTCAAACATAACCAAGACAGAGAAGAATGACAAGAGAACTTTGATCACATAGTAACGGTACAATCGACAACCACCATTGTTTTGCATAGCTTCTGTTAGAAGAACAGAGTTGCAGTTTCTTTTTTTCTCTTTTTGATATTCATGTGTCCGGATCAGCTTACGTGCAGCTCGACTAAATACGAACCAACCATATAACCTTACTCATTTGGTTGATAAGGAAATTGTAAGATGTTAAATCTTAGGTAGGTGGTCACCATGGTTTGAACTCACTCATTCCTTCCAAGCCCATTCCAGTTCTTTTTCATTTCAGATATTACGACTGGTGGTCAGAAATCCCATAAAACTCTAGATTCTAGAGATCCCCAATGACCAATCCTAGCATGCCAATGCATAGCTCCAAAGATAATAGCATACCCAACAGAGGAAATTAGATATTTTAGCAATACTTACTTGTAATGTAAACAACCTGTCTTCAAGCTGAACTTCCTTCGTGAGAAAATCTGCTCCAATAGTGGCCTTGTACTGATTGCTAAACTTACGATTCACGTATCTAATCAAACAAATTAGAGTAGTAATTAAAAAACCCAATAAACAAAAAGAGTTGGAAATCAAAAATTCACAAGTTTCGGGCTCGAAGGCATACTGATTCATTAGCGATGTCTTCCCGACGCTGCCAAAGATTCGAGAAACGTAATTAGGATAAAATCCGTGACATCCAATAGAAGGAAGATAAAAAACAAGGACAGGAACTTGGAATCGAATTCCCCCACCATGGTATCTTCGATTCTCTCGAATCCAAGGAACCCAAGAGGGAATTACAGGAACGCGAATCGAAATGCGAAACCGAAAAAGGAAAATCGAAAGCTCACCCACTGTCACCGAGGATAATGACTTTCAAAAGTATGCGCCTGCGAGAAGCCATGGTTCGAAAAGCTCGAAGATTGAAGCTGGGAATTGGGGAAAATTGCAGAAAAAATTAGGGATTTTGAGTTGACGGAAAAAAAAAAAGAAAAAGAATCTGATGGAAATATTATTGGAGTCGTCGAGGGAAAAGGCCGACCGGGAAATTACAGCGAACAATGGGAGGACAGCGAAGGGCGGTTGAGTTGCTATATTCCGAAAATACCCCTCACGGTCGTTGGCTTTTTACATGGATGCCCTCACTTCCTATTTTTGAATTTTGAGATTTGCCTTTCTGTAGAACTAGAATATTCTCCTCCCATTGTTCCAATTCCTTCGTAGTTTATCCAAAATCATTACAGCCGCAAATTTTTAAATTAGTTGGCGGCAAAATGCTCTTCATTTTCCTTCTTTTGTTTTAAATTCGTCAAATCAATCTAATAAAATAATTTTAAATTTGTTTACGTAAAATGTCAAAGGCGAATCGAATCAAATGATCTGAATTTGACCAGATGGATTGTTAATAGGGGAAAGACGAATTCTTGACTCGAATGACTGGATCAAAGATGATATGCACAAAGAAAATGTGAGCTAATGCCGACGAGGTGCCGGCATACACTTTGATGCTTAAGTCAGTGTAAGAACTCATGAAAAGAACAAGAGAGAATTGTATAGAAGTGTAGTGAGTTGTGTTGTTGTACCTCAATTAGACTGGGATCTTCGTATTTATAGGCTCATGGGGGAAGGAGGAAGATTTATTTCCTTTCAAGTAATATGGCCGAGCTAAGATGTCTACGGTGGAGGTGTGCGCACCACGTTAGGTATGACACGAAGGTATGTAGAGTAGTAGGCCGCCATGGTGGCGTGCGCTTCATGCTCTAGCAAAGGTGGCTACGGTGATCACAAAGGAGAAGGGGCACCGCGGCCGCTTGGGTCACGCTCGCTTTGCTCGGAGAAGGGTTGCGCACAGGTCGCGCTCCTTATGTTGAGAAGGGGCACCGTGGCCAATTGGTGCGCTCGATTGGTGTGGAGAAAGATTGTGTGCTCTTGGTGGTGGCACATGTGTACCATGTTGGGCGTGTGAGTATTGGGCCGATGGGCCGCTGTGGCGGTGTGTTTGCCACGCTTGGAGTGCACGGAATGGGCGAATGAGCCGTGGTGGTACCTACCCGTGTAAGACTTTTTCACAACATCCCAACAAATACTATTTTAGTCTAGGTTCATTTTGGTACTTATACTTTCAATTTTGTTCATTTTAATCTCGAAGCGATTGTTTTGTTCCATATATTTTTAAAAAGTGACCATTCTTATCATTTAATTATCATTTTTATCTCATTCCTTTCAAATTCAAATTTAATTTGATGTAAATTTATTAATTAATAAATAACTTAAAATATCAAATCTTTAAAAGTTAATAAATCACTTAAAATATTTATATTAAAAAAAAAGTCACTCAAAATATTGTAGCTATACTCTAATAGCTACAATGAAATTAAAACTTTGAAGAATAATTTTACAAAATATGTACAAATTTGTTCCTTAACTCAATTGATTGCCAATAATAAATATTGAGGATGTTTGGATACAATATCAAAGAAGATAATAATATTAGGAGAGAATGTTCCAACCATTTGCTTTTAATCTATATTAATTTAAGTTAAATGACTCACAATATTTAAAATTTATGGAAATATTATGAGCTCTCTCTTATATAAATAGGTCTACGAGTTAATATGAGCTTAGTTTAGTGGTAATTAACACATATATCTAACCAAAATGTAATGAATTCGAATCTCCCACCTCACCTGTTGTATTCAATAGAAAAAAAAATGTCTATGAAACTTTTAAATTGTTTAATAATCATGAATTTATTAAAAAAAAATATCACACACATTTAAAATTCAGTGACCAGTTCAATTTAAAATGTAAAGTTTATAAGGGCCTGTTTGGTTGGATTCTGTTTTTTTTTTTCAGATTCATTGAATTAAATCAATTCAATAGAGTAGGATTTTGGAGATTGGTTTTTTAAAACTGTTTTCGGATCATGTGATTCAGACAATAGAAATTTTGAAAACAACTTTTATATCTGTTTTCATATTTATAATTTAAAATTACATTAAAAAGTATAAAACTTTGATAAATATATTATTCATATTATAAACTCATGTTTGTTAAAATTAAAATATGTAAAATATAATGTAGTCTAAATTATATTATATAACCTTGTAAAATAATAATTATACAAAATTCATAAAAAATGTTAATAAATTAATTAATATAAGTTTAAATTAAACAAAATGTTTAGTTTGTAATTACTTCTAGTTCGTAAATATATTACTAAACCCACGTTGAACAATTTTTTAAATTGAAATTCAATTATCAAATATGCTATCAAACACATACCTAAAAATAACGAAAACAAATAATAAAATTATGGTTTTGATTGAATCTCTTGTTTTTAAATTTTTGTTTTTTCATTACCAACTAAACCCATATGAATGATCACACAGTAATTCAAATAATTTAAAAGATAAAATAGAAAAAGCAACTTTGGGTGTCCCTCACGTGACCATCGTGGCTCCAGGTTCCTGGCTGTCGTCGAAAATTAAATTAAATAATGTTAAAGTGGAACTTTTTTTAGTACAAATTCGTTTATGGAACAACATCCAATTATTGTAAAACATAAACATCGAATTCAAGAAAATTGAACATTTGAGCTTAATTCAACTTGTTAAGTTATTTATTTATGATTAAAAGATAGTGTGTTCGAACTTCCACTCGTATGTTTTATTATACTAAAAAATCTGAAAAACAAAATAAAATTATTGAAAAAGAATAGTAACAAATTCATTTTTAAATGAAAAATAAAGAGACTATTCAGACAGAAAGTCAAGTTTTAATGGTATTGGTAATAGCTAATGGGGGTCAAATTATTTGTTATTATTAATAATTAAACACAATTTTACTTTGAAATTTTCAAAAATAGTTGAAAATGTTTTTTTTTAATATTTCTTATACTTCTTCTTCCTTTTTATTTATTTATTTTATTTCAATTTATTTATAAAAGGTGGTATATAAACCTACACTGGCAAGTTCCGAATGTTCTTTGACGATTTTATTTTCTTTGTTTCAATGTTTTAAATATTGATTGTAGATCTCAGTTTTAAGAAAATGTTAATAGAAATATTAACAAAATTGTGGACATTAATTGATACTTTTAAAAAATTATAAAAATCAATAAATTTATAATATATTTAAATTAATAAATAAACCTTTCATATACATGTTAAAAATTTTAATATTAATATTGTGTTTAAATAGTATATTTATTTTAATTTTAATTTTTTATTATATAATAAAAATGTTGATTAATCTCTTATATGATCTTGGTGATGTGTCAACTGAATTACTCTGTCATTTTTTCCAGAAAGAGAGAAAGAAGAAAAAAGCTGTCAATTATTATACTTATTTATATTGTATATAGGATGATAATATTTGTAGTCTTGTACTTGAGTCCCCTTTTTATTTGATAGAAGCTCTACCAAAACGTGGACTTGAAATACATCTTTATTATGCCCAACGTCTCCTTGAAAATGACATAGTCCAGAACGTCACGATTACGAAATAAAATATCGAAATTACGTTGTTATCAAGATTTTAAATATCGATGTCGATGGAAATGTCAAGGTTTCAATTTCATGAAAATATCGATGGATATTTATGCAAAAGTTAGAAAAATTAAAAACATCGTAAAAGATATTTTAATAAACATCCTCCTATTTCTAAATTAGTTAAAAATAATTAAACTTAATATTAGGTATATATTAGTGATATTTTGTTGATACTTTTCACATTTTGTCGATTTTCTTGTACTATAATGAAAATGTTGATTTACCCTTCATGAAAACGTCATGTGTCGAGAAATATTTAAAATCATAGTTGTTATAACACGGTTTTTCATTATAACGTTGTAGAGTATGAAAGGAGTATATTAAGATGAACTTTTTGCCACTCGAAATCAAACGTATATTCATTTTTTATGAATAAAAAAACAAAGAGGTGAAAACATTATGCTATATTCTCTAATATTTACATTTATCTAGCATGAAAATTTTAAAATTGTCTAAAAGGGAGAGCTATTCATATAAGACACCATCGTGACATTGTAAAATTGTCTTTCCAACACGATTACCAACTCCATAAATAAGATATTAATAATTTTAGCTGAAATAAATGTCAAATATACCTTGCACGCTGAATCCAGCTATGGTATTTAACTATATATGTAATAAATAAACAATTTATGATTTCTAAAAATACAAAATACAAAATATACAAAAACCAACGTACACATAATTTAGTGATCATTGACACTTATTCATTTTCTTGATGTAGGATGTTCAAACCCTCGAACCTCAGTACTAAAAAAACTCGTACCCTAAATTTGTTGTAAAAAAAACCAAAATAAAAATAAACACTCGGGGTAGAATGGAAAATACGATACATTCAAAAGGGTATAAATGACCATATGATAATGTCTGCAATTTTTGTTTTGTTTTTTTATGCGGGATTTTACGACATTTTTCTCTTAACATTTTGTTTGACTAATAATAGTAATTTTATATTTTTATTAATACACGTTTTTTAATTACAATATATTGGAAGGATGAGAATTTTAACTTTTGTCAATTACAACCATGTTCATGTTAACTATTAACACCTGTTTTATCTGACCTTTTACTCGACAAAAAATGATCTATAAATTTTTATTTTTAATTTCCTAAGTCCATTTTAGATTTTAAAAAGATGCATGGTCTATTAAATTTGTTACAATAAATAAAAAACAAACTAAATAATATTTAAAAATTATAAAATATGTATAAAAAAGGTATAAAGTAATAAAATTTTTAAATCAACTTTTAATCGGGGTATATTACAAATAAAATCGGTTAGTTTTATTCCTTGATTTATTAATAGATAGATGCTAATTTGACTAGAATTGTTTAAATAATGTTACAAATATAGGAATCTTTCCATTTAATATTTTAGTTCATAAAGTTTATTTTTGTGGGTATGGATGAAAATATACACCTTTTACGTTTTTTTAGTCAAACAAATATGGAGATGGAAGATTGAAATTTTGAACTGTAGCAAAGAATAAAGATATTTTAACTATTGAGCTATGCTCATACTTAATATAATTTTTTTATTTGAAAAAATACAATTTTTATGCTTAAGATAATAGTAGTGGTTCTTAATTTAAGTGATATTCGAAACGTTAAATTGAGAGAAATTTTTTTTAGTAAATGTATCAAATGGCTACTATCCTTTTAGGCAGTAATTCATTTTCTTTTTCATATTTAAAAATTTTCAATTTTATCGTGAAGTTATAAAAAATTCGTATCTATTAAAAAAAAATTGTAATACAAAAGAGCTTGTGTCGAAAATAATTAAATTATGATTTAAATAATATCTTGGTCCTATGTTTAGGATTCATTTCAATCCATTATTTCGGTCCTTTAATTTTATGTTTATCTCATTATTTCGATTATTTTTTTTATGTAGTAAAAAAAAATCTAAGACTTTTTATTAATGAAAGGTAGAGTCGAGGATCTAAAGATTTGGTATATACTGCCTTTACTGTTTTTTAGACGTTATTTATTTGTTTATATTTTGAAAGAAAGACGGATTTTTTTTATTTTCGTAATTAAGAGAAAAATTGGCCCAACCAAAACAATAATTGAAATAATAGAGGATGATCGTATGAAAAATCTCGATATTCACATTCCAGACGTCCGAGGAGCGGTTGAAATTCCGTACCCAAAAATCCAGCCCAATCCCCAACGCAGTGCAAAAGTGAAACTGACAATGAAGTATGAGATATAGACGAGTTGCGAATTCATTGGCACCTTCGGAATCCATTACTCGCCATTTGATTTGATTTGATATTATTCTTGTTTCCTTATAGAAATTCTCTCTCAATTTTTCATTTTTGCCCTCATTTCGGGGATACCCAGTTTGTGATCGCGTCTATCTCCGATTGGGGGTTTCAGTTTTTGAGGTCTGAAAATTCTAGGGTCTTCATTGGGTTAATGGGCTGCTGCGATTGAATTCACTTCCCTCGTTTTAGTATCTTGCGAGTGCAAATTTTTTATTTGTTTCTGTTGCGGGAATGAGCTCTCAGAACCAGGTTACGGTTCGGGACCTCCTCGAGGAAGCAAAGAAACGGGTTCTTTTCCTGGTCGTATCCATCGTGGGTTTATCGTATCTGATGTCATGTAAGATATGGGATTTTTGTTCGTCGAACTGCAAATAAACACCATATTAGTTTTTCTGCTTAATTTTGTTAAAATCCGATTGAATTCGGTCCATCTTGGGATTCCTTTCTTAGTTTCTAATCTGTAGAACTCAATTTGGTGTGCATAGATTCTTCGTCTGTAAAAGGATTGTTCTTGTATTGCCTGTTGCAACTTGAATCTTGCAAACCCCTTTAGTGCGTTCATTAGTTATAATCGCATCTTTACTTGGAGATACAATTTTAGTTCATCAGCATTATTATGATAACCGCTTTTGTTAACTTATGGTTTCAAAGTAGCATTAACTATGTTGGTTTGCATGGAGAAATAGAGAGGTTGCTTGGTTATCGTTCAACCGGACTATTTGAACCTTTGCTTGTTGTTTGCACTACCGTGGAACTGATTATTCATTTATTTTGAACATACAAAGTCAGTTCATAATTTTACAATGATAACGAGTCAGTTGAAAATTGGAATCAGTTTATGGAGTTTTCTTATTTTATCTGTTATATCTATTAACGTGTGATGCTTTCATACGATCTGCGTTCGAGCTTATTCTTATGATGGGAACTGTTCTGCACGAACACAGAAGTTTCTCTTTAACACACACACCCCTATTAGCCTTGTAAGGTTTATGCGAAGAGGTTTGCTTGAAGTTTTTCTATTCATTTTCAGTTTCTCTCTGCCTTCCTGGGCCTGGTGGACATTTATGTGTATTACTCTTGCTGCTGACCTTTTGCGTTGTTCTCCTACTTGGGGATATCTCAAATTTCTCTTGCTCCTGTTTCAGTGACAAGCTCCTCAGTTTGGGTAAATTTACCTGCTGCTGCATTTATGATCATCCTCATCCGATATTTCGCTTTAGATTTTGAAATGAGGAGAAAAGCTGCTTCATACATAGGTAGGCCACTGCCAGAGAACGGTATTTCCCACAAGAAACCTCTTGAGTGTCCTAAAGTTGTAAAGAAGTCAGACTGGAGAAAGAAAGTCAATTCTCGAGTTGCTGAGGATGCAATAGACCACTTCACTAGACATTTAATTTCAGAGTGGGTGACAGATCTTTGGTATTCTCGTTTAACACCTGATAAAGAAGGCCCGGAGGAATTGATCAACATCGTCAATGGTGTGCTTGGAGAAATTGCAGGACGCTTTAGGAATATTAATCTGATTGATCTTCTAATGAGGTTAAGTTCTGACATACTTATACTTTATATTTATATCCAATGGTTGATGGCTTCTGTTTCTTACACTAGTGAACTTAAATTTTTGATGTAGGGATCTTATTAATCTCATCTGCACTCACTTGGAACACTTTCGTTCAACTAAAGGAAAAATAGGGAAACAACAATTAGGAAGGGTTACTATTGAACAATTAGATACAGAACTCAGACGACTCCTGGTTTTGGAGAACAGGTTGCACCCTGCTTTATTTTCTTCTGAAGCTCAGCATAAGGTCTCAATTCTATATTTGATCATAAATGATACTGCTTCAATGAATTTTGTTTGCAAGGGCGAGGTACCTTGCATTGCATTTTTATCCCGTGGTAACCGAGTTTTCTTTCCTACACATTCACAGGTTTTGCAGCATATGATGGATGGTCTTATATTATACACATTCAAGCATGAGGATCTTCAGTGCTTATACTTTCGTTATACAGCGAGGGAGCTTCTTGCTTCTGCAGTAATGCGGCCGGTTTTGAACTTGGCTAGCCCAAGGTAATAAGCCATATCATTTTGTTTGATCATATTAAGATGTACTTCCGGCTTGATGCGGTTATATAATTTCAAAATTCTTGATAACAGGTTTATTAATGAAAGAATAGAATCCTTAGTCTTAAATATGAAAAGGCCTAAGAAACTGGAATCACTGCACGAAAATTTAGAGTCAAAACCAGATAGATCACCAAGTGCTTCCGCTGATGATTTTTCCAAGTTTCTTGATCCCATAGCTGGTGTTGAGCTGGTACAGCTGAAAAATGGGCAGTCTACAACCCCTGCAGATCTACCTAAGAAAGTTAACTTGAATGCTAGTCTTTCTAAAGACCCACTTCTCTCAATTAATACTCGATCTTCCCGGTCCTGGAACTCGGAACCCCTGACATCCCAAAATGCTGATGAAAGCACTATTCAGAAGCACAGATCTGGTGGAGAATGGGGTGAAAAGTTGGATCAGCTTTCTCGTAGAAAGGATAAGGCCTTAGCTCCTGAGAATTTTGAAAACACGTGGGCAAAAGGGAGACACCATAAAATGAAAGACGATGAAAATAAATTTAGTAAAAATGCCCAACAAGGCCTCTCCCAAGGGAAGCCTGCTTCAGTTTCAGTGAATCATGAGAGAATCTCTAAAACAGTTGATAAAGAAAGTGCGGTCAAGCTTAATTGCTTTAAGAATAACACCGTTAACCAGCTTATAGTTGATGGTACATTCTCTCCGACTGCAAACGACACTACCATGATGCATCAGCAAGACAATGATTGTGATGTCATGCACCTTAATGATCTTGACTTGGAGAGAAATACTTCAGAAGATGAGGAAACAAGCAATGTTACAGGCCTTGACTCTCCTGGAACCAAAGTTTGGAATGCGAGAAACAATAGAAATATTGGAATTTCTCATATTCATCACCCGCTTGAGAATTCTGATGGTTCTCGAGTTAAGAAGACGGGTAAAGGGAAAGATAACCATCATAGGTTATCAAGGATCCAATCTGGAAGGAAAAGATCCCGGCCTAACAGTGAGAAGGTGCCTGTCTGGCAGGAGGTTGAGAGAACAAGCTTCATATCTGGTGATGGGCGGGACATACTAAATTCCCCAAAAGAGCTTGGAAATGACGATGACTCCAGTGATGATTCCGAGATGGAGGGTTTGGGAAGAATACACAGTGGATCAACAGCTTCTTCATCTATACCTTCAATTTCCCAAATTCTTCCTAGTGATTACTCTCAAAGTTCTCTAATGGTGGATTCATTCTTTAGGTTGAAATGTGAGGTATTCTTTTAAAAATATTAATGGTGTATACTTTGAGCATGTCGAAATTTTGCTTTCTTAAACGATGATGTGGTTGTGATTTTGTCTTTTATGCAGGTAATGGGTGCAAATATAGTAAAGAGTGGTTCAAGAACATTTGCTGTATATTCCATATCTGTTACTGATGTAAATAATAACAATAGCTGGTCTATCAAAAGAAGGTTCTTACTTCAAATTCTCTCAGTTCATCTTTCACCAATGCGTTCATGATTTTCTAAACTTTTGTATGCATTTGTCTTTCTTATTCTTGCAGGTTTCGCCATTTTGAGGAGTTGCACAGACGGCTGAAAGAGTTTCCAGAGTACAATTTACATTTGCCACCAAAACATTTTCTTTCAACGGGATTAGATGTTCCAGTTATTCAGGAACGATGTATATTACTTGATAAATATTTAAAGGTCCAAACTTGTCTTACCTTTCTTTTTTTTTTTTTTTGTCTACTGTAATAGTTGTGTATCCATTACAGAATGATACATTATGAGATGTGTTTGAATTGCTGTCTAACTCCATAGTGTCTTCCCTCATAAAAAGGTCACGATTTTTCAACGAGGTCTATCTATTATCAAGAACTTTCCATTTCTTTTGATGAAAGCTTGGTTTCTGATAAATAAATAAATAAAAGAAAGAAAATCTATTATCATGAATTAGTTCTTTATATTTTATTGATTTATTATTTTTGTTGCAATTCTGGGTTTGTTGCTTTTGAGATGTTTCAGCTTTCAGCTTTCTGCTTTGTCGAGTGCACCTTACCGTCTGATGATTTTTTAACTTTATTTTCTGCAAGTCAATCTTTTTAGGCGATAGTTAGTTAGTCAAGTCATTCTTTTCAAAGTTTTTGACCACCTTTTTAATTTTTGTTTCTGTTACTCTTCAGAGGCTTATACAACTCCCGAAAATTTCAGGATCTATTGAAGTTTGGGACTTTCTCAGTGTTGATTCCCAGGTTAGATCTTTACTTCCCCACTGGATATATTGCCCTTGACGATCGGAGTCTCTATTCCGTGATGCTGAACTTATGGAATTATGTTTATTTGTTGCAGACATACATATTCTTGAATTCGTTTTCTATCATTGAAACGTTGTCAGGTAAATCATATTGAATTAGTATAATTGAATATGAATAATATGCCCTTTAGTTGGTGTTAGGTGTTAGTCTGTTATATCATACATGTTCGAAATGTTTACAGTTGATCTAGATGATAAACCCCATGAAGACAATAGAAGTATTTCAAACCCAAGCAGCCCGTTATCGGGTCTATTACCACTGATGAGAGACCATGCAATTGCCGAAATCTTGGAGCCTAAATTGCCGGCGAAGAGTAAACTGCAGGCAAATGGCTTGAGATTGAACACAAAAGGCATGTCTGTTCTTTCTCCAGTGAAAACAAGTTTTGAGGAAGTTTTATTATAAATTGTTTTTGACGATTCTGATAGTGACTCAGATTCTTCTACTATGGAGAAGAGTGGATTGTCTAATAGAAACTATGGAAAAACTGAGGATCAGAAGGAGAATGGAGCATTATCTAATAGAAACTCTTTGAAAACTGAGAGCCCGAAAGAGAATGAAAGAATGGTAGAGGCTTCTGACTCACTTCTTGATGCTGCAACTGATCCAATGTTGCCCACAGAGGTAATCTTTAACTCCATTTTATCGATTAGGAACAGGATAAAGTAGTAACGTTGATTGAAGAGGATGATTTGTGTGTATTGTAGTGGGTGCCGCCGAATTTAACAGTGCCATTATTTGATGCGGTGGATGTGATATTCCAGCTACAAGACGGGGGATGGATCAGGTGCTGTATTGAATTGAATATTGTGTTAGAAGTCATAGAAGATTGAGTGTTGTATATAAAATGGGCAGGAGGAAGGCGTTTTGGGTGGCGAAGCAGGTGCTGCAACTGGGAATGGGGGATGCTCTTGACGATTGGTTGATTCAGAAAATCCAGCGTATGCGCAAGGGATCTGCAATGGCTTCTGCCATCACTCGTGTCGAGCAGGCAGGCATCCTTCTTACTTGTACTTTCAAAAATATTATTACATACATGCTCTGATGAACCTTTAATTGAAACAGATACTGTGGCCTGATGGAGTATTCATAACCAAGCGTCCAAAGCAGCCACCTCAAGCTTCTGCTTCCAGCAATGAAACATTATCACCCCGTTCACTTGAGGAGCACGAAGCCGATCGCCGTGCTAAGTTTGTATACGACTTGATGATCAGTGCGTTCTCAATTCTCATACATGTTATGCATTCATTTTAAGTTAAGCATCTGTCTTGATCTTCAACTTGTTCTTGTGATAATAATGAAGCTAATGCACCAACCGCCATCGTGGGGCTTGTGGGTCGGAAGGAATACGAGCAATGTGCCAAGGATTTGTATTATTTCCTTCAGGTATTTGCATGCGATCACTTTCTCCTGCATTTTTAACTTGCTTTAGACTTAGAACTGTTTTTGTGATACCATTGCAGTCGGATGTATGCATGAAGCTGCTGGCACTGGACCTCATTGAGCTGCTGCTCTTAACTCTGTTTCCAGAGCTTGAATATGTCTTCAAACAGTTTCACGAAGAAAAAGAAAAGTTTGGCAAAATCGACATACACGAATAGATCAGTTAAGTCTGGACAAGTACTACACCACTACTCTCTCTCTCTTGCCATCACTCCATTTTTGTTTTTGGAGTTTCTACCCCTTCTATAGGCTTATTTACATTAGAAATTTCGTCTTTTTCATCCCCAATTTTTTCTGCACCATTGTGGATTGTATAGTACAAGCTTTGTGCACATTTAAAGTGATTGGCATCGTAAAGAGGTTGGTTTCATTGTTGATTTACACGTTTCTCTTCCCAGACTCGCATCAAAATCTGAATAAGAATTACTTGGACATATAAGAAGACTTACTATGAAAATGAATATTTACCTTAAAAATTAATTCATATGATTTTTTAATACCAAAATATTGTAGGATGACAATTGCTCTGTAAGCAAGATTAATCTAGTCCAATTTCATGAAGGAAAAAGAAACTTCTATAATTACTTTCATCTTAATGGTTCAACTTCATATAAAAAGTTACTTATTATTTAATATCTTCTTAACATGTTTTGCTAGTATGAACGTAGAAATACTCTTGGTAACCATCAAAAGCAAGACCCAAGTTTTCGACCAAAACTTATTTCAGAAACACAAGTAGTACTTTATGATTAAATCAAAATAACTCTGGTTAAAAGCTCTTGTTTTGAAAGTACCCTTCAACCTCACCCTAAGCCTACGGGTGCAAGATGTTAGGCACCAACGCCAAACACCAAGAAAAATAGAGTTTTAGGGTAGAATTGTTGATGAGCATAGTAGGGAACTAAATTTATTCAATTGCAGGAGTTAACATGAAACTATGGTTGGAAAGAATGATGCAAAAGAAAAAATAGACTTGTTTAATGAGAAAATCTAGATGCTCACAGATCAACACCTATCTTTTGATGCTATATTCGGGCTGGCCACAGCAAGACGGGTGCGCTATTGTTATCATCTTATCAAGCTATTAAGACGAGAGTGCAGAAAGAAAGAATGCTTCCATTGATAGCCAAGGAGGTATAGCTGGCAACGAGTGGCAGGGGCATTGGTGAGTCCAAGAGGCATAACCAAATAAAATGCCCCTTTATAAAACTGGATACTGAAGCTAAATCGTTAACTTATGTTGAGACTATCCCAATGCTGGGCAAGATTAACCTATAATCAAATAACCAAATCAATCTAGTGATTCCGCAAAGGATCTCCCAACCCAGACAACTTTTAGAGATAAGGGCAAAACAGAACACGCTGGAAACAGCTTAATCAAGAAGCAGTACGAACAATCTGATTCGTCATTTGACCATAATTGAAAACAATACATTTCAAATAAACTGCGTTCAACTAAATCATGAAAAGCCAAAACTAGAAAACAAAATTATATGAAATGATTCTCAGTTGAGTAAAACCCTCCTAAAAACTATAGTTGGGTACTGAAATTAAGGCGAACTTCTTCCAAAACCTTATGCTGATGCTGCAGCTCCTTTACTCCTGGGTGCAGCTTCAGTACCTAATGAAAAACCAAAATCAACAACTGACACCAAGTACAAGAAGTGAATGATGGGAAGAGTCAAATTAACTACAAATACAAATATCATACCCTCTCTGAAGCCGCTCTTGAATCTACGCGGGACATGGCGCATGTACCTCATCCTACCAGTTCCGGTTGTCTTTCTCCTAATTGCCTTCACACTCCAGTTATCTAAAAAATTCCCAGAGCCAAAGAAAAATTTAATAACAATCAAAACGAATTCAAACTACATGGAAACCTAAATCAACACGAGCATCTCATATCACTTCACTGAACGAACGAATCCAATGCACGTTCGCACAGACCAAAGCCTTCTTATTCAGGGTCATACCCAAGTACTGACTTAGTAACTTCTCTAAATGTGAAACAACACTGAACAAATTAAACGCAGTAACGATGGAACCAATAAACACGAGCCTAAACAGTCGATTTAGATCAGAGTAAATAAGGATAAAGATCGAGAGTATTTACATTTGCGCTTGCGAGCAGCAGGGAAGGCACATGCTGAACAGCGACTCTTCTGGAGATGGAAGCTGCGGCGGCCGCACCGCACACAGAGAGTATGGGTCTTGTTCCTCCTCTTACCAAAACTGCCCGTACCCTTCCCCTGTAGATTAATCGAGCGATAACACCAAGATCAAAACTAGTACTCAGAAACAAAAATCGAGAGGTAGAAGAGAGGTAAAGAGAAGTACCATTGTTGCAGGACGCAGAAACCCTAGGGAGGAGAAATTGTATCTGCAGTTTGGCTCTGGGGATATAAGCAGAGAAAATAGCCTTTTTATATGACCGAATCACAGTCTAGGGTTTCAGCTCGATTATTGGTGGGCCGGCCCAACATTGACTTGTCCAGCTTTAGTGAGTTATTGGATCGGCCCAATATTGTGTTTGAAAGTTTCCAGCCCAATTATTATTTACGACGTTCGGCCCATAGTTGGATTTAATCTATTTAATACCATTTTTATTAAACATAGATTTATCTTTCCCATCATTTTATAATAATACCTCTATCTATTTTCAATATTAAACTCTTGAAATATAACTATTATATCACTAGTTATTATTATATAACATAATATTTGTCTATCAAATATTTGTTTTAGTCGAATTTTTTTGTTAGGTATATAATTAATGCATTTCACTTATTTATAACCGATAATATAATTATTATAATAATTGAAATAATTATTTTTAAAAGAATTTTAAAAATAAATTATTTATTTTAAAATTACACGAATTAAAATAGAGGTGTATAAACTAAATAAGATTTAAATATATTTTGAAAAATAATAAAAGAAAATATTTGTTATTTTTGTCTCGATTATTTATTATTTATTTTGCGTAATACATGGCGTATATATTTGTGTGGGTTCGCGCCCCACTGCAACTGAAACAAACGAGAGAAAAGGCGCGAAAGAGTTGGGCCGCTTTGGACGGCGGCGGTGAATCGGAGAAGATGGAGAGCACAGGCGAAACTGAACCCGAATTTCCGGCATTTCCATACAAGCCCTACTCGATCCAGCTCGAGTTCATGAAGGCACTCTATAACTCTCTTAACAAAGGCGGAATCTCCATGCTTGAAAGCCCCACCGGTCTTCTTCTTTCTCTTTCTGAGTTCGATTAATAGCTAGTGGTCTCATAAAATGTTTTGTTGAATGAGGAACAGATTAAATCTTGAACGAACCGCCCTTTTACTGCGATCATGGTTTCGTGATGTAGGTTCCCGTTTTATTTACGATATGTAATCTGCTAATTTGTTTTTGAGCCATGGGTGAATCCAGGCTGTTGTTGTTCCCTGTACTAATCGGAACAATGGTCGAATTTGAAGTCTATAATTCAATGTGTCTCTTGTTTTCTCATTGGATAAATAGTAGAGTTGGTCGATCAGAAATTGCAGTGGATGGAGGAAATGCGGCATTTAATTTCCTTGAGACGAAGAACTGAGATAAAGTTAGTTGCATTTGGCAGTTTGCTGTGTTTAGAAAAACTTAGGGTATTTGCTATTGAGAAATCAGTTTAAGAAAAAACATTATTTCATCTTATATCATTTTAGTTTCAACGTCTTTTAATAAGAAAAGAAATATTCTCTTTCTATTTTTAAATTGGAATTTATTTTGTCTCTAAAGGTACGGGAAAAACTCTAAGCATCATATGTAGCGCTTTGCAATGGGTGGCTGACCAAAGGAAGAAACAGAATGGTGAGATACAAGATGGGCACGGCAAGACTGGCACAAATGGAAGCCAGTTTAATTCAGATGACGAGCCTGATTGGATGAGGGAGTTCGTTGTAAGTAAAGACCATCACATTCGGGAGAATAATAGTAAGAAAAAGGAATTCGGGGTGGGATTAGAAAGACATCATAAAAAAGGTTGCAAGGATAATTATCAAAATTTGTTTCCACAAGAGGAGGAAGACCATTGTAATATGAGGGAACAAAAGAATATGAAGGCTTCAAAGGATAGTCTGGAGATGGACGATCAAGAGTTTTTGGTCGAGGACTATGAAAGTGATGATGAAGGGACTCTTATTAGTGGGAAGTCAAAGAGGAAGGTCAATGAGGTTTCAATAAGTTCATCTAGTGATGACGAGGAGGAACAAGATGAATCTAACGAAGAGGAGAAGTTGAAAGTTTACTTTTGTAGTCGAACGCATTCACAGCTTTCACAATTTATAAAGGAGTTAAGGAAGACTATCTTTGCAAATGAGTTGAATGTCATCTGCCTGGGTTCTAGGAAGAATTTTTGTATTAATGAAGGTATATGTATCGACTTTGGTCTATTGTGTCTGTGTGTGTTTGTATTTCTTACATTATCGAATACATGTTTCAGAGGTGCTCAAACTTGGTAATGCAACTCACATAAATGAGCGATGCTTGGAACTTCAAAAGAAAAAGACTACCCAGACATCCAAAACCAAGGTATACTAGACATTCTTGTATCGGCTGTAGATTGGAAGCTGTTTCCTTTAACTGGTCCGATAAAATGTTTTCAACTAACTGCAAACTTGTCAAAGTTGAGATTATGGAGGTCTCTACCGGAAATTATCGTGCTTAGCAACTCTAGATCTGTCCATATGTTCTTGTAACACAGGACTGTGTAGCTATAATTACTCAAGAATGGTAGAATACCATTAAAAACATTGCCCGGTTGCTGATTTCTCTCTCAAGTAAAGTCAATAACTATAAAAATAAGAGTCTGCATGTACGTGGCAATGCACAAAAATTTTCTTCTAAAAATCACATATGGTTCTGAATCTAATTTGCCCCATCTTTCTATCAGTAAACCATTACATTCCACTATCCTGCCACTGGTAGTATATTTGATCCACATTGTTAATGACGTGCATATTTGATTAAATGACTATACGTTTTTATCATTGTAGACTAGAAAATAGAAAGGATAATCAAACTGAACGGAAATGGTGATTTCATTCTTTTTATTGATCTCTGAAAATGAGCCTTTTTAATTGTATGAGATGCAAACTTTTTTCATCAGGTATCTTGCCTTTCTTTTTTCTTTTTTTATTTTTTTTATTTAAACAAAGATATCTTGCTTGTTAAATAGTTATCACTGGATTCATCATTGACGCAACTTATTCTCAGACCTAGGTCCCCATTCTTAACCTTTTGTAATCTTTTTTATGAAATAAAATTCAGCTCCTCCTATAATTTGTTTAGAATTTTTTACCACCATATAGCATAGGTTCAAGCATCTCTCTCCCATTTTTGAAGGATAATGTTAATACCACTTTCTGTCATTGGATTTGGAGATTTTTCGGTCCTCTATGAACTTATGGTTACGTCCATTTACAGAAGTTAGGTGGTGCAGGAAAAATGCGCCGGACCAAGGCTTCTTCTGGGTGCCCAATGCTTAGAAATCCAAAGCTACAAAAAAACTTTAGGAGTCAGATCTCTCAAAGAGAAGCCTTAGACATTGAAGATCTTGTTCACCTTGGAAGAAATTTGGGAACATGTCCATATTATGGTTCCCGAAGCATGGTCCAGGCTGCTGATCTTATTGTCCTACCTTATCAGTCTCTTTTGTCAAAATCATCCCGTGAATCCCTTGGTCTTGTTTTGAAGAACAATATTATAATTATTGACGAGGCCCACAATTTAGCTGATTCTCTCATCAGTATGTATGATTCAAGGATCACTTATTCACAGGTATACATTACCAGATTTATTGAATTCGGCTATTAACTTCATTTTTAAAACTTTGATGAGATCCACGATACCTGGTTATTTACTCTAGTTAAATGTCTTTTTGAGTTTTGATAGCTGCATGGTGTAGAATTGATTACCTCATGGCCCTTTTTTAGTCCTACAATCAGTATTCAGAGGGAACAGAATCAGCCTGTAGAGAGGGGAAAAAAACCTTTAAATTTTAGTAGACCTGGTTCTAAGTAATTATTATTATTAAATTTTTTTTCCATTTGGTAATAAATTTCCAAACTCTTCTACAGTTGGAGAATGTGCAACAGCAGATGGAGAGGTATTTTGAAAGATTTCGCAGCCTTTTGGGACCAGGAAATCGGAGATATATTCAAACTCTAATTATTGTTACTAGGGCTCTCCTTAAAATCTTACACAATGAGAAGGAAGCATCTTATGTGGAACCTTGTCAAAATAATACAAGTGGAAAAAAGGGTACCTTAGACTATGCCATGGCTATAAATGAATTTCTGTTCTCTCTCAATATAGACAATATCAACTTTGTAAAACTGCTACAGTATATGAAGGAAAGCAACATTGTGCACAAGGTAATTCTATTTCCTTCGTACTGGCTAATTAAACCCCAGAAATTAAATTGATTCTTCTCATTTTGGGTTTAACATGTACATTTTCCAGGTTATTGGGTATGGAGAAAGAATGGTTAGCTTAAGAAATGGCACGGGAGTGAGTACCTCCGGAGACTGTTATGAGAAGGAAAGTACTCTGTCAAGCTTCAGGGCATTAGCTGATATGCTGCTGTCCCTTATAAACTTTGATGGTGATGGAAGAATTATCATCTCAAAGAACAGACGAACATGCTCAGGGGAATGTGGTGGTTATATAAAATTTGTTATGCTCACAGGGGAGAAGATATTTTCTGAGGTCCGCAAAATAAGATATTTACATCATGAATTCCACAGATCATACCTTATTCTGAGACTTTAGTTTTGAACCTTGTAGGTCGTAAACCAAGCACGTGCTGTTGTTCTTGCTGGTGGAACTTTGCAACCTATAGAAGAAACAAGAGAGCGGCTCATTCCATGGTTGCTCCCTTCACAGTTGAATTTCTTTTCATGCAGTCACATTGTTCCTCCTGAAAGTATTTTGCCAATGGCTGTTTCATCTGGTCCTTCTGGTCAGCCTTTTGATTTTAGCTACAACACCAGGAGCTCATCTGCTATCGTAAGGATATTACAGGCTTGAATTAATTTATGTCCATTTATTTTTCACTCTTTATTCTGTATATTTTTAATGTTTATATTATTGTTCCTGTTGTCTTATTCCAGATAATTCAGATATAGAGTAGATAACCTTTTCTTACTGTTCAATCCATCAGTTTATTTCCTTGTTAATTTAATTTTAGCTGATTGCACTATTCATGGGCATGAATTTACAGGTAAAGGAGCTAGGGCTTTTGCTTTGTAATTTAGTGACTGTGGTTCCAGAAGGAATTGTTGTGTTCTTCTCTTCATTTGATTATGAAGAACAGGTATATGGTGCATGGAAAGCTTCGGGCATCCTTGACAGGATTATGAAGAAAAAGCGTATATTTAGAGAGCCTAGAAAGAATACTGATGTGGAATCTGTGCTTAGGGAATACAAGGAAAACATTGATGGATTGTGTAGTAAGGATCCCAAACAAAATATTCCATCTGCTAGTGGCGCCCTACTACTTGCTGTTGTTGGGGGCAAAATATCTGAAGGCATCAACTTAAGTGATGGGATGGGCAGGTGTATTGTCATGGTTGGCCTGCCCTACCCTAGTCCATCTGACATCGAGTTGATGGAGAGGGTGAAGCATATTGAAATTCTGGGAAATTCAAATTCCATTAAGAGTTCGAAGTTTTATAATGAGGTTCCTAGTGGAGATGTTGAAATTGGTTTAGAGATCTTGAGAAGTTGCAAGAGAGGAAAAGAGTATTATGAGAATCTTTGCATGAAAGCCGTTAATCAGTCAATCGGTAAGTAATGATTGCTATATTTTTTATAATGGGAGGAACTTTAGAATTGAATCGAATTAGGTGACCAAATTGTGGGGCCTGGGCGTGTGGTGGCTATTACTGTCAGTTCGTTTATAATATAGTTGACCTGGTGACCATGATTGAAATCATGGTTAGCAGTTTTATTTCACTCTAAATCTAGTTATCAATGGTTACGCATGCTAGTTAACTACGGCAATCAACATCTTGCCTCGGTGATATCTTGATCCGGCCCTGAATGAGTAATCATAGCCTCTGAATCGATGTTTTGCTCTAAATTTTGAAGACTTGCAGTAATAATGCAGTGTTCTCAATTTCCAAGCCACCATTTTCATCTTGTCTTTATCTAACTGTGTGCTTTCCTTGCCTTTATTACAGGTAGAGCTATTCGACATATCAATGATTATGCAGCAATTCTATTAGTTGATGGTCGGTATGCCTCTAATTCCTCAAAAAGAAGCTTTTCGCACCCAGCTGACAAGCTCCCAAAGTGGATTAAGGACTGTCTCATTTCTTCAACTGAGAATTATGGTGAAGTCCATCGAAGGTTGCATCAGTTCTTTAAACTCAACAAAAAGATAGGACAATGATAGAAATTTATGTTGAATTTGTCGTTATTTGGGGCAGATGTGCACAAAACGATCATTTCTTCACCATTGTTTTACTCTCAGCAATAATTTGTATTATAGCAGTTGGTCCCAGTAGGAAAGGTGAAATCAGCTGAAACTTAGATCTGTAGTTGAATCGTAGGATTTGTGAAATAAGCTAACGCATATATTGGTATCTTTCTAATATGATATGACCTCCAATGCTCTTCTAGCGCCTGTTTATATTTGTTCTCAACAGATTTTAGTAGTGGGTGGCTTTATTCCATCAATTCATGTACAAGTTTTAAGATGTTTCGGCAGTGTGTAACAACTAACAGCCAAGATGTTTAGCATATTGGACATCTACACGTTATTTTGAGGAGCCTTATTGTGTGAGTATTGGCTATTGAGTAATAAGATCTAGCTTTGTCATGCATTTCACTGCTGACGTACCCACATCTTGTATGCCATGCTACACCTTCAGTTCAATGAGTGCCTACCTGATTTGGTTTTGTTACTAAATAGATTATCAAGCTTTTTCACCCACAACATTTGACAAATCTTGCTGTCATTCCAAGCAACAAATTCGCTATTCAGAAGCATGGTGATTATTGACTATTTCCCCAGGTAATCATCTATCTTTTATCTAGTCCTTGATATTTCTGTGAGGTGGTTGATGGTTTCACTTGGCGAAAGAAAAAAACAGGTTCCTAACTCAGGTTAATAAATTCAAGTCAAAAAGTTCATTTATGATTTCTCTAAAGAAAGTTGAGCAATTATTTGCTGCGTCTGTTACTGCTACAAGACAGTAATTTACAGTCAGGGATGAGATTCTTTTGGGGGTTGGATTGAGTTGCTTTGAAACGCTGGCTCTCTCAGAAAATGACTTTACTCTGCGGATATCAGTGATGCATCTTCTTATCTATTATCAGCTGAGAGCCTTGGTAGTACCAATCTCTTCGCTTGATGGGGACCAAAAAAGCCTTCACATAATTATGATCACGATTTTTCAACTGCATTGAATGAAATTTAATGCAGAATATGTTGAAGTGTTAACAGTTAAAACTCTTGGCCTCCACAGGTTTAACAAAAAACTGCTCAATAGAATGATTTGTCATATATATCTTGACTGTAATGCAATTATTATTTGTCTTTGTAATGTACAAAGTCCTCCCTAACCAAGCTCTTTTTTCGTTTGAGATTCATCAGGTCGAGTCTGGAATTACGAACATTGGATTTGTCCGAGGTTGAGTCAGCCACTCACATCGTATGCAAGACCAATTGACCTCATTCCACAGCATTAACACGTGCCTATATTTCTTGAATTTTTTTTTTTTTAGAATATTACACCACATGTAGAGTCGGAGATTCAAACCTACAACTCTTTAGGACCAAAAAGAAAGAAGAAGAAGAAAAAACATTGGTATGGGAACTCTCCATATATCGATGATTTTTGTGTCAATGAATTGACTGTGCTAATTTGAATTGATTTACATCTGTTACACTCTTGAAAAAAATAGCATAATCTGAATTACTAAAAATGAGTTTTTGGGGACAATGTTCCTTCTGTCCCATGGGGACCTCCCTCTTTAACTTTTCGCTGGGACCATTTGGCAAATGGGCCCTCATGGGTCGGGGATTGCCTTTCAACAATTAGATATGTGTCGAATACTGTATTTAATGTCATTACACTTTTAGCAACCCACCACACCATCTTTTAGCTTTGCATCTTAGTGAATGCCCTGCTCTTTGCACTACAGGTAGTCAAAAACGAAGCATTCTAGCTCATGGGATTCCGTGCTACACATCATCAAGATTGAAGCGGTTAAGGTTTTCAACTTTTAAAGAGAGAGAATGGCCCAAAAGGATGGAGAAGAAGTTAAAGGCAAGATTTGGAATTTCCACTTGCTCTGGCTTTGTCTTTAGGTAACTACGTGAAACATGAATTGTCTCCATCTTTCTTTTCTGCGTTGCAGAAATATTTAGTGAACCAAGGAAGAGAGAGAGAGAAATAGAGAGAGAGAGGTGCATTTGCTCTTGCAAACAGATTGATAGTTGACGAAGCCCTTGCTTTGCTTGTTGTACCACATTACAGCAACCAAATGCTGCTAAAAGGAACCATCCACAAAACCAATTACCTCTTCCACAAAACTCTTGAAAACTTCAAGTACTTATTCTCCAGAGGGTTTCAGAAGCTGCAGAAACCCACTTCCTTGAACCCCTTCTCTTGCAGGAAAGGAAACCCACATACCCATCCAACAGATCGGCTCTACATAGATTTTTATGATGAGTGGCAGTCCACACTCCATAAGGCAGCCAAGAGAAGCATTGACAGTGGCAGTGATATGACATCGAAGGGAAACATGAAGCAAGAAGACGCAATTGTGGCAAAACAAAGTCCTCCAAAGGCAAGACAAGAGAAGGCTGTGAAAGAGAAGAAGAAACCAGGAATTTCCCATCTGAGAAAAGGTGATCTTAAGAACAATAGTATGAGAGGTAATGGGTTAGTACAAAAAATGAAGGAATTGGAGATGTTGGATAGGGGAGATATGGAACAAGAGTTGGATATAGAAGAGGCAATTCATTATTACTCTCGTCTCAGAAGTCCTGTTTATCTTGAAATTGTGGACAAGTTTTTCATGGACATACACTCTGAATTCTCTGTTCCAGAACCTTCAGCTGGCAGTTTGAACAGCTCAAAGAGAAGAATGGGGTCCATGAGATTATAGATTTCCATCTCAGTGAGAGCTATATCCTTTCCTTTCCCCTTTTTTTTCCTTCCCTTTTCTGGCAAATTTGGTTTGATTGTATTCCCATATATTTATTCCTCCATTGCTTTCTTCTGAGAGTATGCATTTGTGTGATTACTGATTCGTTGCCTGCTTTTCTCCAGCTCTGTATAAAAATTTCAATAAAAATTTGAAATTTATAGTTCCTTGCTTTGGTTTGGATTTCTGCAGTATAAGTCTTGGAGGAAGAATCTTAAACTTGGCTGATTTGGAAAGACATCATATTATGTCACCCTAAACTTGATTCCATGTAATTGTTTCACTTGTTTGTCATTAGAACTTAATGAAGATTTGGATTATAAGTACAAGAAATAGTTCATTCTCATAATACTATACTAATTTTGAACATTCTCCGACCTAATTGATTACGTATTCCAAATTACAAGCTATCTACTATTTTTTTTTTAAATATTACTAGTCTCTAAAGAATTTCAATGCTATCATTCAACTTTCATAAACATTTCCAAAATACTCTTGTAAACGTTTGTTAATATTTGAGAAGCTATCAGCTCTAAAAGGGAGATTGGGGAAAATTTTGGACAAAATTGAAATATTGATTGCCACGTTCTATGTTCTACCAAGTCAATTTTTTGTTTAAAAAAATTAACAAATAATTATTTACATAAATTATATTGTTAAAACGTTTGGCTTGGAGGGAACAAGCTCGCTTAGATGCTTGTAAATTTGAATTTATATTCAGCATCATAAAAATTCATTCTATTTTGATAGTATGGGAGCATCCAAAAAATTCCAAAGAACTCTTGTTGATATATAATATATGAAAACAGGAAAATTATAACAGTTGCTGCTTAATTTTGACCACATCATACTGATACAAATAAATCTTGTAAAGCAAAATATTGCAAATTCCTTATACTGGAGAGAACAAGGCTGACCAATTTTACAAATATTGTATTCTTTGAGGGAAAAGAAATAGGTAATAAAGCACTCCAATCGCTATGTAATGGAAATTACCACAAAAATCTCAATTTGATATCAAATTTTAAGAATGCTCCCATCAAAATCATAAGGAAAAAAAATAAACAACACATCCCCATGTCGGTATCCTGGATACGTATATCCTCCACATGGCGTTTCGGAGCTAGAAACTAGCATCTGCAATTCTGCACAAGTTCATCATTAGTCAGATGAAGATATAAGTACATTATGCTCTTTCAAGCGTTTCTGGAAATTAACCAAATGATTTTGTAGTTGGTAGATGGCTGCAGCCTTTTGGGATAGAATTGCATTCAGTCTAGATATATAACCATCTAGATGATTTCCTGGTTGGTCTGCCTCCACTAAAAGGTTCATTTCCTGCAAAATCAGACATTTTATTAGTAAATATGCCTAATGGTCAGCCATAACCAGAGTAATTATGCTCGCACTTCTACAAACATCTCCTTTTATAAAGCTTCCAACCACAATGTTGAGAAACGACTGTTTCGCAGAGCTATTTTAAAGCTTATGTTGTGATTTTGCCTGCAAAATCAAACTACTTGCATAAAGTTTTTCCGCTGTATCTTGTTAAAGGATTAGTTTTAGCTTGCAGATTCAGGTAATTTCCGATACAGAATCGTTATAAAACTGCAGATGTATTGTGTGAGTATATTGAGCTGGAGGTTCTAAATTAGGCTCATACTATAAGCAAGAAGTACAGCAGACCAGCTCAGTAACATACCATCCTAACAATATTCATTGTCTCCTCGACTTGTCTCCTGTGAGCATTTATAAGATCTTCCTCTTCCTGCGAGGAATGCAAAAATGTCAAAAAATATATGATTGCTGTTTCCTCAAAGATTTGAAAATGGGGATAAGTTTATTCTGTTTTACCTGCAACAGGTCATTCAAATCGTTGTCTGAATTTGAGTTATGAGAATCTGCCTTTGGCTTGTCCTTCCATTTCGGCTGATTACTGGATTTGTGTACATTTTCTACCGCAACAGATGTTCTGTATGGCTCAAGCTTCCCATTTTTCTTCCACAAAGGTTTCCTTTGCTCAAGAATCTCCTCTGATACATCGACTTCGTCTCTTTCATTCCGTCCGACCCATGCAGGCTCATTCTCAAACATAGTTCCAGAAGGCAATGCCGAGGTCAAGGGTCCAGTTGTTGATTCCTTAAGGTTTAAAGTGGAAGAAAATGTATCCTTCTTAACATTATTTCCTTTTGAAAGGCTCTTCACCCTGGAGTACACTTATGACTTATCTATCAGAACAAGCATCTAAAAACAAGTCTATGGAAACAAAACTGCATCTAGAAATTAATGTCCTACAAAAAACTGCTGTTTACCTGTCTGCATATCTTAAGGTATTGAGAGTGTGTTCACATGATCCAGAGCTGGGCGATATACAAGATATCATGACAGTGCGTGAATTGCCAACAAATGAGTCCCTTAGAACTTCCGTCAATTTACTGCCTCTAAAAGGAATATGGCCCTGGTCATTGTCAAGAGCTCTTATGCATTCCTTTAAAGCAAGTAAGCTTTTATTGATTTCAGCACCTTCTATTCTGCATCATTTTAATGGAACATTTAATTAAACAGGCAAGAAATAATATCATAATTGCTAAATATTGCCATAGTCTTATGGAGGTAGGAATTGCAATCAACTCAAGACAATGTACAGACCCCATACCTCTCATTTATTAGTTAATCTAATCAGGATTAACTTTTAAAGTGTAATTACTTTCGGATTTCCTGTTGAATTAATTATGTCATTCAATAACTATATTAAGAATAAATATGTCCAACAATCATGTTGTTAGGCACCGATTATTCATACATATGTAAGGAGGGGTAGAATGGGTAATTGAAGGGCGGGACCTAGGAGGAGGGTGTTTTGGGAAGTTTATGTAAAGTTAGTTAGGCGTACGGTTAGTGGGAGCGAAGGAATGTATGTAAGGGAGCCTCGGGATTAGGGTAGAGGCAGTTTTTGTCATTTTGGTGTAAGAATAGCACTGTGCTATTGTGAGAGACCCAGCCCTCTCGAATTGGCTGGTCTTGTAAGCCTAAGGGCGATTTCTCTTTTGAATATCAAAGTAAAGCGAGGAAGATACCTCGCACATGTTTAGCTTTTATTTTCCTTTAAGTAACAAATCACATCCTTGTAATAGTTCACAAATGGGTGGGAGTCTTAATGTGTGTCTCCTAATCACAACAAAGGGGGAGGGGAAAATCTAGACAAATCAAAGTTTTTAATGAAATAGGTGATATCTAAGCTCCCAAACATCATACCTGACAAGTCTACAAAGCCAAAAGCATGCTATTTCCTACATATATATAGGATGGAATCAAGTTGGTTCAGTTGGTTTTAACTATTCTCATCAATTCTCCAAGTTACAAAATCAAAACATAGTTAGTTATTCAATTTTGTTTGAGTAGATTTCATAGGATAAGCAGAAATATGTAGATTGAGAAACAACTATACCTTGTCTGTTTATCATTGTCGGTGGTGTCTGCACCGCGTTCACTTCCTGCAAGATCTATAAAAGACAGTTTTCCAACCAATCGAGGCGGCTTTGTTTCTTTGCCACTTACTGAATTCTTGACAGCAAGCTGGAGTATGGCATGGGAACGAGAGGATTCCTCATTTGCACCAGTCGTTCCAGTACTTCTCGTGGCATTTCCTTTTTCAATAAGCTCTCCAATGGTCTCCACATCAGACACTTTATACTCTTGCAAACCCACAATGCAAACTTGTTGTTTACCATCCTCCCTCATGCATAGTTTCCTGCAGAATAAAAGCTTTAACTTCTAAACAAACTTATCAACCGCTATTTCATGGCAGTAGGATAAGAATAAGAACTTACTTCCTATCATTGAGAAGATCATAAAGCTTTCCTCCATATATTTCAAAGAAACTCACAAACAAGTGGAATCCCTGGTTCCTGTATGTATGATGCATCAATCTCAAGATGTCCTTTGATGCTTTCAGAGGCAACGGTTTCATGGTATAAGTCTTGCCACTACCTGTACAATAGAAAGCACCAAAGATGAAGCTTTTATGAAAGAACATGACAACCCAACATTAAAAGCTAGCAGAATGTCAAGACGTCCAAACTTTCAGTTCCAGAAACAAGGACTTGATGTATCTCATTTCCTCTGATATTTAACTTAATAGAATATTGGAAGCAACTTCAGTAAGATTTCTTGAAAGAGCAAGCCAGCAAGAGCATTAATAGTCAACTATCAGAAAGTCACCTGTTTGCCCATATGCAAAGCAGGTCGCCTTTGTTCGTTGAAATATTATGGGTACAATTGGCTCCACCGTCTCCCGGTACACCTAGATCCCAAAGATTATAAAGAAAATAAGGCATGCTAATAACTTGTGTTGAACTGTTTCTGCACTTATGATTCTTCCTTAACCAATTTATACTTTCCAATTCATTAATTGCAATACACTCACTTCATCATTTGAAACCTCCTCATTTAGCACTGCATCAAAAACAAATTCATGCTTCTCCACGTATTCTGTCAGGTCAACCTGCTTAGCCAAAAGTGAAGAAGGAAAACAATTACGACATTGAAATTCGTAAGTTTTATGAAAACGGGTACAAAGCAGTAAACCTCGCCTTAAGTTTAGTCTCATGAACTGTTAAATAATTAGCACTTGTTTCAACAATATCTTCCTCATTCTTTGCCAACTCCTTCTTGTTCATTGGCCTTTTACGCACCTGCAATAATCAGATAAGATAAATAAACAGAGGTACCAAATCATACCATGAGAAACAATTACCTGAAAATGGGATATGTGTATTTCAGAGGTGGAAATAAAGTAAAGACATTCATAGAAGAATACATACAACGACTTTGATCTTGGCAACAGAGGTAGTCCTCTCTTTGTCTGCAGCAGCCACACTTTTCAAGAGATTGTTCTCTGTCAAATCCTGAGGTCTACCTGTTTGGATGCTGTTCGAAAGACAGGCTTCAGAGTCGTCAAAGCCTCCATCCTGCACAAGATAAAATGCTATGAGACATCACAAACCTCCAAGAAAATATATGAGAGAACTTTAGCTCGTCTCTAAAAGCTACAAAATATTCGGTGCTTAAATTTAGTCCCAAATAATGTCCACCCCACACTCACTGGTCTTTCATATTTCCCAGTTTTCAGCATACAAGGAACTTGAAGTTTCTATTTATTATCTCTCTAGCCTCTAAAGTTGCATAGAACTAAACTTGAAATACAGAAAGATTATGTAATCGGTTTCAGTATTAATTTGATATGGACAATATCAGCTTCAAAGCAATAGTAGCTTTCAGGCTGATGTTCTAAATGCAGAGGATTGCGTTTACAGACAAACGTCAGTAAGCATTGTTGCCAGTTTAGGAGCCAAACTCACCGCCAATTATAAATCGGCATCCTAAATTTCAGGGAAATCGACGAAGGATCCCAAAATAAAAAGAGTAATAAGAAGTAAAAAGTGCGGAAATGAATCCAATCTCACCTCAGGAAGCAATTCAGCATCAAATGAGTGCAGATCCAAGAGTCCGGGGCTGAAATCACTCGGCGAATCCTCGCGACTTTTCCGCTGGCTTGACGGCCTTGAATTGGCTGGAGGTGTTGACGGCTCCATGTAGTACTCATTCATCCCACCAAAGCTCCTCTGCACATTTCTATACATTCTCGAACCTTGCCCTCCCCCACCGACAGAAAAACCATAGTCCTGCTTTTCATTTCAACCACAGTAAGTACAAAAAATGAACAGCACCGATACAAAACTTAACCCCATATCTAGAAACCAACAAAAATAAAAAGCAAAAAGATATCGCTATGGGTCCTGGGAAAATTGCCAAAAGCAATCGAAACCCAAGGCGATGCATTACTCAAAAGTTCGAATTTCTCACTCGAAATGGGATCCAACAGAAAACCCAAAAATTGAAAAGAAACTGAACTAGTGTCATCCATTTCAATCTAGCTCGCCGATTGAAGTGGAAAGCAAGCACAAACTCTACATAGCAACCAAAAAAAAAAAACCCAGAAGAGAAAACAGAAATTTAAACCTGTGGAGCAGAAGTGTTGGAAGGGAAATACTGAAGACCAGCTGTTTGAAGCCACCTTCCATTGGACGAGGCGTCCAAATAGTCATCTGAGAACTGCCTCTGGTGGTTCCTCACGGCTGCTCCAGATCTCTGGCCCTGTCTTCCCATCCCGTTCATCTCTCAAAACCCCGATCCGAAAACAAAACTTCACCCAAAACACCGATACGGCTTGAGGATCCGATTCAACCCAGTTGCTTGAATCAGAGCCAATCCACCATCGAAATCGAATATCAGAAGCTCCCTTAAGAAGTTAAAGAGTAAGAATGCGGGTAGCGGAGCAGAGAGTCGGAGTTTTGAGAGTTTGAGTAAAGCCAAAGACAAGACAAGAGAGAGTGGCCTTGAATATTTCGAAGAGAAGACACGCGCCTGGCGCGTGAAGAACGCGCGCGTGGGGATTGGCCGGGCGTAGGTGCCCGTAGGAGTACGGTGGTGACGGTGGTGGAGTAGTGGGATTAGCCGGATAGGGAATTAAACGACGGCGTTTCTAGTGGGGATACGTCGGGGTTTTTGAAGTTTGCCCAATAATTTAAATGCCACGTGGTGGGGCCCCAGGAGTTTTTTTTAATTTTAAAAAACTTATAATTCCGCGCTCGCCTTCTCGTTCAAATTATGTGGGGCCCTGGCGCGTGGTGGGGTGCCACGTGTCAGCCTCTGAAGCGAAGCCATCTGATTATATATTATACGTTTTATTTCATTTGTTTAATTTCTTTTTTTTTTTAATTTAGCACCCGGTTTTCAAAATAGTTTAAACTTAAATCAAATTTTTATGTTTATTTAAGTTTTAATCTTTAAATTTTAAAAATTTTCATTTTGGTCCTCCAGAAAAATCTGTTCTTGTTCTCCTCATTGCCCTTCTTATAAAATATTTAATAAAACTTAATATAGATATGTTTTTTTTTACTCATTTAGAAAACAAGTTTAGAGAAATTTCACAGCATAAAATAAATATTATTTTAAAACTTTCATAAACTTTTTTTTCAAGTATAACTTTTATGGTGTATTATAATACTTTTGAGTTTGAATTTAATGGCCAAGATTGAGCTTAAGTACAGAAGGCAAAAGTATGACCATTTATTTTATTTCGACTTGTTTGCCTAATTGAGTGTTCATCAATTTAATTTTAGTTATTTTGATGAGTTTCAAAACGATATTAGTTGGTTTAATACATTTTACTCATTGTAGTGTTCTTTTTTCGTTTAAAGCTATATTCCATCGGATGCATTAATGATTTCTCGCGAATTATTGGTCTTTGGTCAAGGAGACATAGAGGGAAGAAAATAACAATAAATAAAAATTTTATTGGTGAGCAAAATAATTATTTGTATGTATATTATTAGTTCTCACATTGTCCCATCAACATTGACATATAATCCATTCTTATTATATTCAATAAAGAAAAAAAAAGTTCACTAAAAAAACATACAAATGAGACTAAAGTCAATTGATGGAAAATTTCTCAAGCGTGGCTGACGCAATGTCGCTACCTTACCACCTCTTGTGTCCATTTAGCTTCAACTTTAAGGTAAGAATTTATTATGCATGTGAATTCGAAAATCTCAACATCTTAGTTGATACCAAAGTTTTAAATATCAATATCGATAGAAATGTCGATGTCTCAATTTCATGAATTGTCGATGTCAATAGATATTTATGAGAAAGTTGGAGAAATAAAAAAAATTGTAAAAAATATTTAAATTAACAAATAACAAATTTTCTATTTTTAAATAAGTTAAAAATACTTTATATTAATATTATATATATATATATATATATATTAGCCACATGGTTAATAATTTTCGTATTCTATCCTTTTTCTTTTTTTAATACCATAGATTAATGTCTGACATATTTAATAAGTTGATACTTAAAAATCATATAAAAGATCCATATTTTCTACGTTATCACGCAGGTTGAAAAATATGTCAAAGAAGAAGAAAGAAACGAAAAAAACAAATTATTTTGGAAGTTGACATCCAAACAAGTCCTTCCTCTGCCACTATAAATATCCCTTCATCGCCACCAAAATTTCTACTTTCTGCACGTTTCTTCCTCAGTCACTACCAAACTTCAGCGAATTGAAACTCTGCGGAATCGAATACAATCCAATCCAATCCAATCCTTCGTTTTCTTCATTTCGCCCTTTTCTGGTTCGTCACAGAATTCGATCGGTTTCTTTTTTTTTCCTTTACTACATTCTTGCAATTTCTTGAAGATTCATGGCAATGGCGGAGGAAACTGCAATCGCCCCCTATGCCGCCGGCGGTGCCCTCGCCGAAGTCGAGATCGGTCCATATTCGTTCAAGGGCGAACTGGCCCGCATTGTCCGAGGAGTCATTGTAGAAGTTACGAACGTGGAGCAAGCAAAAATCGCAGAGGATGCCGGCGCCTGTTGCGTCTTGCTCTCCGAGCCGATCCACGAAGGCATTACGCGAATGCCGGATCCGCTGCTATTCAAAGAAATCAGGGGCGTTGTTTCGATTCCGGTGATCGTAAAGGTCCGCGTCGGGCATTTCGTCGAAGCTCAGATTCTTGATTCTGTTGGTGTGAAGCACATCGATGAGAGCGACGCTGCGTCGGTTGCGGACGAGGAGAATTTTATCAACAAGCAAAATTTTCCGGAGACCTATTTTGTGTGTGGATGTCGAAGCCTGGGCGAGGCGTTGAGGAGAGTGAAGGAAGGCGCGACAATGGTGAAGACTCAAGGGGGCGTCGCGGCGTCTGCTTTAGGTGACATTGTGGAGACGACGCGCAATGTTAGGTCTGTAATGGGAGAAATTAGACAGTTACACAATATGGATGACGATGAGGTTTTCGCCTTCGCCGAGAAGATCGCAGCGCCTTATGATCTTGTCAAGGAAACCAGGCAAATATGCCGGCTACCGGCGATCCATTATGCGGCCGGAGGAATTTCGACTCCGGCGGATGCGGGTTTGATGATGCAGTTGGGCTGTGATGGAATCTTTATTGGATTGGAGATATTCGACTGCGCCAATCCCCGTGACCGATTGAGGAGAATGGTCCTGGCAGTGAAGAATTACAACGATCCCAACATTCTTGCGGAGGCTAGTTTTGGTTTCGGCGCCGCATGAGAATTGTTCACAACGGAGTAAATAGTCTTCTTCTTCTATAGTTCTTTGTATGTTTCTGATCATATACCTCTTTTCTAGTATAGATTCTGAACAGATTGTTACATTTTCGACCGTCGTCCTCCCCAATTGTTGAGAACATATAGAATGTTTTCTTGTTTAGAGTGTCAAATTCTTGAGATTGATATGATTTTCATGCAATAGAAATTACAGAATCGTACCATTTTTCTGTTCATTGGTTTTTACTTCTCAAGGAGAAAAACAGGGGAACCATTTGGGTTACTCTTCTGGGGGTTCTGGTGTTATTTAAATTGATTCTTTAGGGAACCATTTGGCTTATCAAAATCTCCAAGAACCCAACTCTTCATCACATAAAACCAACAGTTCAAACCTAGATAAATTGGGCAATCAAATGTTTGGCAATATAGGATCAAATGCTTTGTATAAATCTGGAGCATGTGTCTGAACGAGAAATTAGAAAGTGGGAATGATTCATAATTTAGTACTACACAATCAGAGCTTCATTCATTGCCGTGACTGATCAGTTCCATTGCTTAACAAACACCTCAAAGTCATCTCATAAGCAACAAAAATGGGGCCATTAACCAAAAATGCTCTGGCCACCGCAGTCCCAAGCCCTCGCCACAGAACTCTGTATCCCTCTTCTTTTACACTCTTGTCAAGACAATCTACAATTCCACTGTATGATTGTGTCTGAGCCTGAAGTCTTGTCTTTAACA